GAAGGAATAGTTTTGAATGTGTTGATGTGAGGCGCTCAATAACGAGGGCTCTTTAAAAAGTTTAGGAACCAGGAGGTTAGCGAGGATAGACATGTGTTGTTGAAGTTCTTGAAGAGCGTTAAGTCTTAACTCGTCATCTCTGGAGTCTACCTCCAGCTTTTTGGAGTTAGTGAACTCAAATGTAATGAAAATAACTTGGTGTTTGCTCCTTGATAGAACTCCATCAATAACTTTGTCGCTGCAGAAAACAAGGCTGGGGGCGGGGCCGGGGGCGGAACCTACTTCAGCACGACGCTGCATTCTGCCCCCAACAACTCCCCCCCACCCCCTAGTTTTTTTTCATTTTGGCAAACTTAATATAAATAATGGTTGGGGCAAGTTTCCTTGTTTGTTACCAAAATGATTGGCTGCCTCCTGCTGGTGCATTTATGCTGAGTCCTGAATAATGAATGAGATGATGAACTGTATCCGGCTGCTTTTTGGTCAGTCTGCCAACGGACTGGGTGAAGCAGAGTGAACTGCCCCCCCCACACACCCCCACACCCCCACTACAGTTGCCTCTGATCACTGGACGGCAGCCATCAGGCAGCAAATAGAGTATAGAGTATAGAAGGCAGAGACACGGCTTCTCATACAGCAGGTCCCTTAAGTGGAGTATAGAAGGCAGAGACACGGCTTCTTATACAGCAGGTCCCTTAAGTGTGCATGCACTTATGCTATGGTGAGGAATTAACCCGACAGCCTCCGTCATGGAAATGAAAATGAAGCTGAAAATGAGCAGGTGAAGGAGACGAGGTGTGAGAAAATAGTGAAGACAAATTGGCCTCTCGCTCTGTGTTTCAAACACGTTGGGATTTGCACCGTCATCGTCAGCCGTTATTGGTTCTGTGCCGTCCAAAGCGACAGAAATTTCCCTGAGTCATTGCGAGTGGATGTGATTGAAGGGGGTTTAACAGTAATTGTCACCCCGCATGACGTGATGGGAGTCTAACAGTCTGAAATGATGTGTTTGTGACCGCGAGTGGATTCTGTGTGGTCTCAGAGCGAGGGCAGCGGGGTGGCCAGGACAACTGACAGCAGGAGTTTAACAATAGAGTGCCTGGCCTCAGGGGACACGGGCTGGATCTGCTGAGTCATTTTCACCCTGCTGCAAGGTAGAGAGCTGTCACTGGTGATGATGACACAGGTCTGGAGGAGAGGCCGCTCAGATGTTCACTTACTCTGCTGCGGAACACTTTCACTGCCACAGCAGGAGGATTGTTTTCTGTCTTTTATTTTGTCACCGTGTTTTAAAGGCTTCCCAGCCCAAGAGTATATTTGTTTTTCACAGAGGCGTGTTACGAAGGAGAGGGAAATATTTTTACCGTCAAGTGAATAAAATGTCAACTGCAGATGCAGAGACAGATTTCTTTTCAGCTTCTCGCTGAAGGTCACTGGCATTTAAACAGGTAGATTTCACAGCTGCAGGCGTCAGATGGGAATCTCAGATGGAATGTTCAGTCTGTGTTTGGTTTTTTTTTAACGCCTTATTTGGTGACGGCTGCCTCAGTGTTCTCAATGTCTTTGTAGGCAGTGGGATTTTACTTTTGTTTAATTCAGTGCTTCTCAATGTGTGGGGCGGGCCCCACTGGTGGGCAACGGAGACGTGACAGGTGGTGCGTTACAGACAGGAGGACATTTTGATTTGTTTGAGGTGGTGATGGTAGAGCTTCACTTTGACTTCATGTTATTGGATTTGATTCATTATAAAACAGGATGTTGTTTGGTGTTAGTTCAATACATTTGAAATGTAATTTGTCAAGATTTCTGTTGGGGCAGTGGAGGGGCGGGGGGGTGCATTGACCTGGTTTAATTTAACTGAATTTTAAAGGGACATTCCTTTTTTTTTGTCTTCACCCACACATTAATTTACAGGACTGAAACGCGTTGTACTGTTAAATAAATTAAATTGAAACCTTAAAAAATATCTGTCAAGTAAATAATTAAATACTTTTTAATCATAAATAATCGATAAATGATGATAATAATAATAATAATAATAATAATAGATAGATACTTTATTGATCCCAAAGGTAAATTCATGATGAGTTCTGATGTCTCTCATATTAAAGTTCTTTCATTCCTTTAAACTTTTCATTCCTTCAAACCTAAATCCCCGTCCACCCCCAAAACAACTGTGTCCTGAACACATCCTCTCTGTGAGTTTTGCCCCGTGATGCAACGCCGCTGGAATGTTTCCCTCTTGTGTGAGGAATGCAGGAGGAGACTATAGGATGGCGTCTGTCTCAAACGCGTCTTTCTTCTTCTTCCTCCTCCGTCGCCACCAACAGTCCACAAAGGCTTCGTCCTCAGTCTGTGGGCCGTGTTGCATCTGCTCTTTCACCGTCTCCCTCTCCTGTTTCCTGTCTGCTCGCTGTGACATCCGTGACACAGCTGTGTGCTAATCATCCAGTCATGTGACACAGCTGTGTGCTAATCATCCAGACCAGTCATCGTTGTATCTTTACTGCTGGAAACGTTGACATTTACAGTATACAGACAACACACAAAATATATTCACATTTATATCAGTAAATGACGTTTCACTCTAGAAATGATCAAGTCTACAATTTGAAATTTTAGTTTTTAACAAATAATTTGTTTTGTTTTGAGGGAAGATTTTGTTTTTCTCTAACAAACAGAGCAAAGCAGTTTTAACAGAGAATAAGTTCCTCAACATTTTTTTTTTAATTACCTGTTTATGTTGCATTAAATACCTTCCACACTGTCTGTGGTCACAGTACTCCTCTGTCCTGAGCTGCTACTTCAGGGACCTCTGAGAATCTTACATTTATGACCTCTGGCCCTTACTTTGCCTTTATCTTAACCTTTTGGGTGATTTTCATGAATCCAGCATTTATGTGATGTCTAATTAATTGCCTACTTGCCTTTATTGTTCCTTCATCCATTGAGTGTTTTTTTTTTACCTATCCACACAGTAAACTTGACAGTGAGGTTGACTGATAGTGAATGGTGTTTGCAGCTGCAGCGTTGATATTTTTCGGAGCGTCTGAGTGACAGCTGAAGATCAGCCATGTTGGGTTTATCATTTAGATAAGAAATGCCTGTCGGCTTCAGCTCAGTCCTGCTGTACAAACAGCAGTTTTATCTGGGACACTTCCTTCAATGCCTTTCCAACAGAAGCGTGACTTTATTAAAAAAAAAAATGATTGTAGTTTTCCACCTCTAGCAGAACCAGTGTGTCAGTAACCCAGGCTGTATCTGAGCACTGACTCCTCACAGTTTGTTACATTATTAATGAGAGAGTGAGAGACTGGAGCCATGGACGGTATTATATTCTGGGACAAGCGCTGTCGCGTAGAGAACCACACCCCGACGGGAGACCCCACACGCCGGGGGGGGGGGGGGTTAGGTTAGGGTTAGGTTTTTGGTAATTTCCATTTCCAGAAACTTGATTCTTAGCAGCTGAATGATCCTGTTAACCAGTGAGGCCCAGACTCCCTCCAGTCTGCACATTTGTCCTGTCATTTTAAAGTCCAATACCGTCATTTGGTCCTGGTGGTTTGTGATGATGCCTGAGGGAGTGTGTTTGTGTGTGTGTGTGTGGTTGTGGGTGTGGGTGTGTGTGTGGGTGTGGGTGGGGGGGGGGGGGGGATGGCCACTTTTAAAATCTTTTGATAGAACCACCGAAAGAGAGATTTTGTGCCGATCACAGACTTTGGGTGTTTTAATCTAAACATCTGCACAGTCCTGTCAATAAGTCCTGTAAAAGCTTTTTTTATATTTTTATTTTAATTTTCGGCCCTTGACAAAGAGCTGAGATGATGAATTATTCCGTATATTCCCTCAGCTTCAGCTTCTCTTCCCCGTGGTGTGTGTGTCGTGGCTGCTTCTCTCAGCAGCGCAGTGATTCTCTGGGCTGTTCGTCTCCTCGCTGACAGGACCGTGGTGGGAGATAACGACACAAATCCTCTGCCAGGACCACACTTTGTACTCGTACTCTACACCTGCATTTCTGGGGGAGCGTTCACACTGTACTTCCTTCTCTTCTATTAGTTCCTACTCCAGGTTTCATCTGTTTTGAAAAAAATGAATTATTAACTTACTGTATTTACTTGTATTTGAAAATAACAGCTGGTCGTGTTGCCTCGTCTTGTCGTTATGTGCACATTTTCACACGTCTTGGTCGTGTTGCCTCGTCTTGTCGTTATTTTCACACGTCACTAATCACCACAGATGAAGGCTGGGGTAGATTTATACAATTTAAGAGTACATTTAGACTCATCAGAGCAACTTAATCAAAATGCTGACACTGGCAGAATGGGATCTGAACAACTTCCTCCATTTGTAGGGCTGGGCAGGATGACCACACATTTCTTTGCTATCTTATAGGTCAGTGGTTCTCAAACTTTTTCTGCAGTGTTCCCCTTCTGTAGATGAGGCCAACTGTTACTCCACAGCCTCACAGATGTTGCTCCAAAATGGAACTGAACTTTATTGAAAATACTGTTACACTTTTCTTTAAATGCTATTATTGTTGGGCAAAAGAAATTAATTATTAAATTACAAGTTGGTTTTCAAAGGAAGACCGCTGTTCTGGGTAAAACCCCCACTCATACAGGTAGAACGTGCAAACGTTATTGAGAAAGACTGGGAATTAAACTAGCAACTGTGTGATCTTCTGTCTTTAGGGCAGGAGAACTAACAAATTCTTCCACCGTAAAAAGCACAGAGCTCTGTTACCAGACGTTTTAAATGAATATGTTTGCCAGTCTAAGAGATAACCTGCTGTATTTTGAATTTTATAATATACACATTTTAATAGAAAATAATATTTTGTCCAAGTCACTGTCCTACTCAGATCACCCTGTAATCTCTGGTCGCCTCTGTCCACAGCTTAAACCTCCTTTGCTTTTACAGTACGTGTTGTTCTTTAGGTCCCTGCTCGGTTCCTCCGTGTCAGGAATGACGTTCCTGTGCTTTGTGTTGTTTCTGTGCAGAGGACAGACCCGCAGCTCCTGGCCCAGTTCTACTACGCTGATGAAGAGCTGAACCAAGTGGCCACTGAACTGGACAGTCTGGACGGCAGGAAGGACCCTCAGAGGTGTACCCTCCTGGTCAACCAGTTCAGATCCTGTCAGGTCAGTGCTGAGAAAACACACTCGTTGTTTTCTACTGCTTTTAAACGAAGCCTTGGTGTACACACACACACGCACGGGGGGTCGGTGTACACACACACACACACACGCACGGGGGGTTGTCGACTAACGTCGGAGTTCTGTTCTTGTGGTGGTGCGACGTTGCATATATTATGA